CATAGGAAGCCATTGGTAGAGTTAAACGGAGAGAAAAATAACCTCGACTACGGTAACGAATGCATCCGGACTAATCAGGCATTAGAAAACATAACATTTCGCCTACCGGCAACCGTTTTACGGTAGAATAAGTTAGCGCATCCCTGTGCATCACGACGGTTGAACTAGAAGTTACAAGGTATAACATAACTTTGAAACTTTCCAATGCTCTTCATGGTCAATTCGTATTGGTCACTGTTGATTATCAAAGGAAATTATGGGAATTTCAATTGAGGAGAAAATTTTCCGTTTCTAGCTAATGTACATATCTCATTAAACTGTCGAGCCTAAGAGAGGACAGTTGACACAAACAGTTGTTAATCAGCCTATACTGTCGCGGTTTACGTAAAGTCTGAGGCAGTGTCGAATGCATAACTTTAACAAACTATAGAGTCTCTTCATTCAGTTTAGGCGTACGACGAGAAGTCTAATCTTTTCCTCATTATAGTTGTCATCAGAAAAACGTGTGAATTCTCAGTGCTATAGACGTCGCGATTTAGCGATACGTAAAGTGACTTATTTCGCTGTTATGACTCATTGGGAGCAATAGAAAAAAGAACACCACTGATGAGTATGAGCAAATATAGCAGAATATAAACTGTAGCAAAATATCGCTCTCACAGCATTTTGTCGCACATGATGGCCTGAAAGATTTGATATAAGATGCTTTCTTCTAAACTCTTTAACGGCCTAAAGTTTTTCTAGCTAACCATTGATCAGTTACTGCTGGTAATTGCCTCTATGCCTGATAAAGCCAACAAATATTTGAGCGTTCAAGAAATAAAGTTAACGATACTCTGTCTTTGAAATTTAAACCTGAAGCGCTACTCTTTTTGTAGCCGTTCAAAAATATCAGGGTCATCTCTAGTATGTGAGAGATTAATTTATTATAACTTGTGATAAAATAAAGTTTCATATTTTTTGTAGTTACCGCTTGAATCTTTAAAGCAAGTTTGTACAATCCATTCCATAACAAATTTGGAGATCGAAAGCAAGGCATTCGGTAAAAATATCAATCGTATCACAATTTCACAATGCAAATTGAATGGAATTGCGCAAAATACTTGCTACCAAATGTTGGTGACAAAAGGTCGAAAAACAAAGCATTTGCCATTCGCCTCCCAGGTGAGAAACATGAATAAGCTGCAATAAAACAAAAAATGAAAATTTTAAACCTGACCTCGAAATTGAAGCCATTCGTGCACAATTCCGGAATATAACATAGTTCGTTTTAAAGGGAGCATGCCTTTAGATAGGAAATCTTACGGTGAAAATTTACATTGAAAAATACTGTTTCTCAACGACTATCCACAGCTTGTAATTCATTGAAAGTCCAACGGCTAATCGATATATTATTTGCTTTAGGGTTTATTAAGTCGGTTGAACGGCAAATGAAACGCGTGGATAAAGACGACAAATCAATTAGCAGCAGCTCAGCCCATTTTATGTTGCCGAATCAGATCCTCAGAACAATCTCCGCCCTGCTAACATTTCATTGGCTACTGCCAACAAGCAATTACTGTAAATTACGGAGCGACGGAACGTGGCTTCGCAATCCGATCTATCCTTGCGAACGGTATAGAGAAAGGTTGTCTAGAAAGGGAGAGCATGCGTATTTGATGCCGTTTGCCATGCAGTCCTTCGCGAACATCGAAACTCTTATAAATATGGATACATCTTCGAACAGCAGTCGAAATTTGTTTCATAACAATGATTGTGATCGTAGCAACACGGATAATCGAGCTGTGGTTCATGTGAAGGTCATCAAAATGGAGGACCATAGCGAACTAACCGAAGAAAGACCATCGAAAGTATCAGCTGCTACTATTACAGGTACGATACTATTTATGGTCACACAGCTGTTGTTTTATACTAATGCTAAAGCCAACAAGTAGCGTTAGGAAATTAATATGCTTAGAGATGACTCATGATTCAGTTTAAACAGGTTGTGAAATCAAGGCTGAAACTCAGAATGCAAAGTTATGGTAGGACATGAGACTAAGAATAATCAGGAGCCGTCCATTTAAAATGCGCATGGTGAGGGAACCTGCAAAATGTTGGTTTGTTCTGATGCAAAATTAAAATGCTCAATGGAGTCAAATAGTGCAGTAGAGTCAATCTAAAGTAGAGGAACACTGCCAACAGAAGAACGCTGTGACATTTACTAGCAATAAGTTACGAGAGGTGAATCAAAAAGACAAGGCACCTAATCGAAAGTTTGGAGTTGAGAAATACAGAAGGAAATGGAAGAAAAAATCATTTGGTTTGCATGCTTGACGTGAATGAGAAGAATAAGAAACAGAGAAAAACTTGTTACAGGACGTTCAAGCAGCAATGAAATTGGAAAGGCCGACGATGGCGCTACAGATGAATAAAGAAATGTCTGGGTTAACAGAAATCCACTGAAC